TTGTACATGGTCATAGTAATAGCTTATTAATAAATGTTACACAACAGTGTTTGCACTGCATTGTGTTTAAAGAATAAAACATAAGAGGCTACTTTTGTAACCAGATGACTCTGTTATACGAAAGCTGAATTTCCAGATATAACAGACCAGTTTGATGCGTGAAGAGGTCTGTATGGTTATACTGAAGCAGCCTGGTGTTGTTTTCAGGTGATTTAATGAAGGTAAACACAGTGAACAGCCACTTGCAACAGCAGTGTGCACATGGTGGAAAACTTAAAAGCTCTGTACAGTTTGTCCATCCAAAAAGTCACGGCTCTGGCTGAAGATTTCACCATGTGATTACTGGGCTCTTCTTCTGTTACAAATTTAATGCTGTTGGACTTCTGGGTCAAAGCCCAGGTAGGAAACTGCAGAGCATGCTTAGAACGCCTTGAGTCCAGTTTGGATCTGACATTGTCTGGATGTGTTAGTCTGACTTTAAGAAATTTGATTTATAATGATTTTTAAGTCTGACTAACACAATAAATTGATTTTCTCTAATGTCATATAAACATACTGACTGTCCTCAAATGCTATATGTGTGTGTGTGTGTGTGTGTGTGTGTGTTTTGGTATTTTTCTCTTGTATATTTGTTGTTCACATTCTTCAATGCTGATGAAAAATACAGCCAAAGAGTCTTCTTTTAATATACATATGTTTTCTACTTTGACACACTGTTGACTTCCTCCTTACAGTAAATCTGCTTGACACTTGCAAGCGTTGCCACTCTCTAAAAATGAAAGAGTACTAAAGTCATAGAACCTGTTTGTCTGATCAAATGTTTATACTGTAACAGAGATAGAATAATATTGTTAACCTTCACATTTTTACACACCACATGCATATTGAAAAGAAAAAGATGATACAGCCATGATCAAAGCTGTAAAACATTTAATGTTATATCATTGTGCTATTTTTCAGCAATCCTCCCAAAGCCCAGAATCTCAATGAATCCTGCTGGGGAGGTTACCTGGGGTCAGAATGTCGGCATCACTTGTTTGGTCTCAACTCAAACTCAACAGCTTTTGAGTGCAACATTCACTTTGAGAAAGACTTCAGGTTCATTCAGAAAGACCCAAAGTTCGAGTTCCAACTCTGCTATGTTTAAAATACCTAAAGTCAACTTTAATGACGAAGGATCGTACCAGTGTCAGTATCGGACGACAGTTTCGAGTCAAGACTTCAGCTCCCCCTTAAGTGACTCCATCAGACTTTCTGTTACTGGTAAGGAAATTAATCTATTCCCTGAACTTGATATTTCATTCACGTTTTGAAAGAAGTACTTCAACATCTTGGGAAATAAACTTATTCGCTTTCTTGTTGAGAGTTAAATGAGTAGAGTGATTCTACTCTACCAATGAGTGGTGTCACTCCTCTCATTAATTCAACTGCCAGAACAAATGTTGGCACCATACATTTCTGAAACCACAAATACGATACATTTCTACCTTATTATGTAGCGGATATTGTGAAACATTACATTACGTTTCAACACTGTGGTTAACGTGTGGTTTAGGCTAAAAAAAACACCTCATTTTGGTTATCAAAGTTCCTGTTTTGGCTTAAAACAACCAATTTTGGGGGCACAGTCCATAGACTGTAAAAATAATGGACATAGCATCCGTGATGTCACCCATTGGAGACCTCGAGGTTGGCATTTTGGCCGTCACCATCTTCGATTTCTACAACCAGACATGCAACTTTTAGGATGAAAGGGTGGAGTTGTGGAGAAGCGAGGGGGAGCCAGAGGACACACACGCCCGCCTATATCGGCGATCTGACTGAACACTGCACCCAGCTTTGCCGTGCTAAATTGCCGCTAACAAAGTTAGCTTCCGTAATTCAAGGTAAACTTTAGAGGTAAGTATTAAAGTCATCCTAGTGACGTTAGCTAATTGCATACTTGCCCAATAGTGTATTTTCAGATAACTGTGTGGAGCTCATCTAACAAGAGAGTTGTTTCTTTTATTTTTCTCAGTAGCCCACAATATGACACATCACTTACTATGGTAATGGTAACTGGCTGCATTTATGGGACTCACATCCCCATCATAGCTCCATCTGAGAATAAAGGAGATTACGTGAAAAGGAAGTCATTTCACAGTAATTCAACAGTTCAGTTAACCTCAGCCTAATATTGCAAGAATGAAGTCAGTATAAGCAAAGTTTCTTAGCAGTACAATATTTTTGTGTTTTATATTGAGTTGCTGCCAAGTGCGTTTGGACCCCACCAAATTACAGCTGAATAAGAGGATATAGCACATTATATCAAAATATATGAACATCATTAACATGTTAAAATGTTAATATATTTTCTGTATATTAGACAAACATTAAGGCATCACATTACATAACATCACTTCACATTACCTATCAATATGCTTTGCAATCTGTTCCCATGCCACCTCATGCTATTTAGCTGCAGCTGATGTAATAGATTTTTTTTTTTTTTTTTTTTTTTTTTAGAAGACACATACCCGGTCATTAAAATCTACGATTCAGTTGGGATGAATTAAGTGGATCAGCGTTTAACTCTGCTTTCTGCCAATCATGTCATCTGCAATCCATTGATGACAGCTTTTGGTGCTATCTGTGAACATGCTTCCCTCAGGCTGAACATACTCAAGACTTGATTGAGTTAATTCTGATCAGCTGTTCTGGAACCAAAAACTCTGAGTTTCCCAGCTCAGTCTCAATCAACTCTGAGATCGAGATTAGGCTCAGAGTTTGCTGAGCCTGCTTTCTGAAATTGGGCCCTGGGCTATCTGTGAAAGATGCAGTTTATTTCACCACAATGGTAAATTATACAGTTCAGCTGAATCCATTAAAGCCCAACTTCAGCAACAGTGAAATGTTCATGCCCAACAGTTAGCTCAGAGTTGATATAGTTTATTGTTTTGAATTATTATATCAGTGTGCTGTTCCAAGAACATCACTTCATAGAGAGAGGATGTTACTGGGACAAACCAAGAATCTGTCAACATGAAAAGGCGTCAGAACAGGGTGAATAATGGGTCCTGGACATTTTGCACCTTACCTCTATTAAGTTGGGACTGTGGCAGTGGCTTCTCCACTGACTGTTGCATTATCCTCACTTTAATTGTAAAGGGAGCTTTCATCTCTCTACCCATACCAGGATTTGGACTTTCCTGAGTGAACAGTCTGCTGCACCAAGCCCTGTAAAGTATTATTTTTATATTGTTGTTTCTAATGTCAACTATTTCTACTGTCATTTATCCTTGTTATTAAACTTGCAGTATGTTGCACTGGAAATTCAACTACCTCTTTTCATTTTGCAAACTTGTAACAGTTAAGTTCACCTTTTCCTTAATCCACAGCTGTACTGTCACATTATTTAATGCATCCATTTAATCGCATTGTTTTATATATCTTCTTGGTGTTGTTGATGGGTAATAACATTGTTGAAATGTTTAATAAAGGTATTGATGGATATCATGCCCTGAGTTTGCTGATGGTTTTTATGGTACATATCTGGTCTAAATTTAAACAATAGTCAACATGTATAGTATTGTAATAATGCAGAAACACATTGATGGCTTTGTTAGAATTTGTAATTAATTATAACACTATTTCTATATTTGCTTTAATCAACAACATAAATGATAGAACAAATGTTGCCTGCCTTGACGTTTGACAATGAAGGATAAAACAACAGATAAAATAGTTTGTGCTTGTGGTGCATTTTTTCTGACACTGAAAAACACTAATTCACTCACGTAACTACACACAGTCTGCAACATTTTAACATAGCATGACTGTTACCTATCCAAGTCTAGCATTAATGTTACCTTAATGTTACATTGCCCTTATGGTAAGTGTATTGCTTACATAGCATAGATTTAGCTAACTAACAATAACGTGGTGGAGCATTATCTTCCAACCTCACACAGATGCACTTTGTTCAAAGTATTATCAACATAAATTCTAACACTTCTGTATTACGCTTTGACTTTAGTGCACGCCAGTTAGCAGCTAGATAGTGAGCCAAAAAAACACTGATACATGCTAATTATCACAAACATATAAATAAAACGATAATAAAATGTCACTTACTGAAAAACTGGAGCACTGGTGTCTTGATCCGTCTGTTGGTACAATTATCTGCACAGCACGTCATATCTGTTGTCTGATATGTGTACAAAAAAATTTCCGACAGGCTGCGGCCAGCTGGATCTGACATGTCAAACACAGCAAAGAGGTCAAGTTGAGTGGCCTACGGTGAGGCCTGGCTGACAACCTGTCAGTCAAAGTGGCCACGGTTTAATTATGCAGAACTTTAAGCCTTTATAACATTTAAACGGGATCATTATAAAAAAATATTCACCCCCCGTACAGTTGTCATTAATGACGAAATAAGCCATAGAGACTGAAACCAGTTTTTGCACCAGGCTGGAAACATGTTTATTTTAGCTGTATAGTTGGACGTTTTAACATGGGAGTCTATGGGGATTTGCTTTGTTTGTCAGCCAAGTGGCCAGATGATGCACTGCAGCTGTTGGCACTTCTGCATTGGCTTCACTCATCAGCCCTGAAGGTGTCTTGCTCATGTGACAAACCATCCACTATCCTCTCCATATCTGGATGATTAAGTCAGCTCATATATTATATCTCTGAAGAAACATTAATATGATACGTGTAAAACATGCAAATGTAATATATTTGTGATTTCCAGAAATGTTCAATGCCAACATTTTCTTCTAGTGACCAGGCTGTTGTCTACTTCGTAGGAAACCCCCCAAAAAACATTTATTACTTTGACTTAAAAGGAAATTTAGCAAACTAAACAAAACAGCTCATATTCAATCTATTTCTTATTCTGACATTGTGTTATTTTTTTCAGTGATTCTCCCAAAACCCAGCGTCTCTATGAATCCTGTTGGTGAGGTTACTTGGGGTCAGGATGTCAGCATCACTTGTTCAATCTCAACTCAGCATTTAGGTGGGACATTCATTCTGCAGCAGACCTCAGGCTCATTCAGGAAGACTCAAACATCAAGTACCAACTCGGCTACTTTTAACATTGTCCAAGTGGACTTTGACAATGAAGGATCGTACCAGTGTCAGTATCAGACGACGGTTTCAAGTCGAGACTTCAGCTCCCCCTCAAGCGACTCTGTCAGACTCTCTGTTGCTGGTAAGGAAATTAGTGAATGAATAAAATAACACAATACAACAAAGAAGGCAGAATAGCAATACCAAGATTATTCAAACAAAAGTAAATGTTGTATTTTAACATAGCAAGACTATTTAATCTGGTTTGAAAATTGTTTGATGGCGCATGAAGCCAAAATGGTTCAACTGCCCAAATAAAATCACCCCGATAATCCAGGGATGATGGACACTATTTCCTCACTGTGCGGCCAGTAGAGCAGGCCCTGAGTGCATCTTACTTCGATGGCTGAACGGCAAAACTTCAAGCTTAGTGCTCCGCTAACTTGAATGGGGATAAAATTGATTTAATCATGCTGCTCTTCTAGGCTTCTGAAATGTAATGGGATCAAATGGATTAAATCCTGATAGTGAAAGGAATCATTTTGCAGGGGTTGTGATGCTCAATTTTTTTTTTTCCCACTGATTCACAGACATCACTTTCACAGTAAGTCAATCAGAAAAAAGTCTTTTTGGACCACAGGGCATCACGTGACAGACACCAGATATTGCAGTATCACAGTTTGGCCACAACAAAACTTGGCTTCAAAGCCCGGCTCACTTACTGGAGGCCTGTTTCAGAACATTAAGAAACCTGGGGTTTTGCACATGGGGATTATTTCTACATATGTTCACCTCATTATTTGAAACTTTGGCTACGTTTAATATGAACATCCTTCATTGTAACACTCTAGAGGCCTTTAAGACATAAAATATGAAAAGCATGATAGGTCCTCTGTTAGACTGAGTGTCATATTGATAAAACACATTCAGGCTTGTCATATCTGTTGTCTGATATGTGTACAAAAAAATCTCAGAAAGGCCGCGGCCAGCTGGATCCGACGTGTCAAACACAGCAAAGAGGTCAAGTTGAGTGGCCTACGGTGAGGCCTGGCTGACAACCTGTCAGTCAAAGTGGCCACGGCTTAATTATGCAGAACTTTAAGCCTCAATAAGTAATAACATTTAAACGGGATCATTATAAAAAAATATTCACCCCACGTACAGTTGTCATTAACGACGAAATAAGCCATAGAGACCGAAACCAGTTTTTGCACCAGGCTGGAAACATGTTTATTTTAGCTGTAAAGTTGGGCATTTTAACATGGGAGTCTATGGGGATTTGCTCTGTTTGTCAGCCAAGTGGCCAGATGATGCACTGCAGCTGTTGGCACTTCTGCATTGGCTTCACTCATCAGCCCTGAAGGTGTCTTGCTCATGTGACAAACCATCCACTATCCTCTCCATATCTGGATGATTAAGTCAGCTCATATATTATATCTCTGAAAAAACGTTAATATGATACGTGTAAAACATGCAAATGTAATATATTTGTGATTTCCAGAAATGTTCAATGCCAACATTTTCTTCTAGTGACCAGGCTGTTGTCTACTTCGTAGGAAACCCCCCAAAAAACATTTATTACTTTGACTTAAAAGGAAATTTAGCAAACTAAACAGCTCATATTCAATCTATTTCTCATTCTGACATTGTGTTATTTTTTTCAGTGATTCTCCCAAAACCCAGCGTCTCTATGAATCCTGTTGGTGAGGTTACTTGGGGTCAGGATGTCAGCATCACTTGTTCAATCTCAACTCAGCATTTAGGTGGGACATTCATTCTGCAGCAGACCTCAGGCTCATTCAGGAAGACTCAAACATCAAGTACCAACTCGGCTACTTTTAACATCGTCCAAGTGGACTTTGACAATGAAGGATCGTACCAGTGTCAGTATCAGACAAAGGGACCAAGTCGAGACTTCAGCTCCCCCTCAAGCGACTCTGTCAGACTCTCTGTTGCTGGTAAGGAAATTAGTGAATGAATAAAATAACACAATACAACAAAGAAGGCAGAATAGCAATACCAAGATTATTCAAACAAAAGTAAATGTTGTATTTTAACATAGCAAGACTATTTAATCTGGTTTGAAAATTGTTTGATGGCGCATGAAGCCAAAATGGTTCAACTGCCCAAACAAAATCACCCCAATAATCCAGGGATGATGGACACTATTTCCTCACTGTGCGGCCAGTAGAGCAGGCCCTGAGTGCGTCTTACTTCGATGGCTGACCGGCAAAACTTCAAGCTTAGTGCTCCGCTAACTTGAATGGGGATAAAATTGATTTAATCATGCTGCTCTTCTAGGCTTCCGAAATGTTATGGAATCAAATGAATTAAATCCTGATAGTGAAACGAATCATTTTGCAGGGGTTGTGATGCTCAATTTTTTTTTTTCCCACTGATTCACAGACATCACTTTCACAGTAAGTCAATCAGAAAAAAGTCTTTTTGGACCACAGGGCATCACGTGACAGACACCAGATATTGCAGTATCACAGTTTGGCCACAACAAAACTTGGCTTCAAAGCCCGGCTCACTTACTGGAGGCCTGTTTCAGAACATTAAGAAACCTGGGGTTTTTGCACATGGGGATTATTTCTACATATGTTCACCTCATTATTTGAAACTTTGGCTACGTTTAATATGAACATCCTTCATTGTAACACTCTAGAGGCCTTTAAGACATAAAATATGAAAAGCATAATAGGTCCTCTGTTAGACTGTAGCCAACATGTTTAATATTGTAATAATGCAGAAACACATTGATGGCTTTGTTAGAATCTGTAATTAATTATAACACTATTTCTATATTTGCTTTAATCAACAACATAAATGACAGAACAAATGTTGCCTGCCTTGACGTTTGACAATGAAGGATAAAACAACAGATAAAATAGTTTGTGCTTGTGGTGCATTTTTTCTGACACTGAAAAACACTAATTCACTCACGTAACTACACACAGTCTGCAACATTTTAACATAGCATGACTGTTACCTATCCAAGTCTAGCATTAATGTTACCTTAACGTTACATTGCCCGTACGGTAAGTGTATTGCTTACATAGCATAGATTTAGCTAACTAACAATAACGTGGTGGAGCATTATCTTCCAACCTCACACAGATGCACTTTGTTCAAAGTATTATCAACATAAATTCTAACACTTCTGTATTACGCTTTGACTTCAGTGCATGCCGGTTAGCAGCTAGATAGCTAAAAAAAAACATTTATTACTTTGACTTGAAAGGAAATTTAGCAAACTAAAGAAAACAGCTCATATTCAACCTATTTCTCGTTCTGACATTGTGTTATTTTTTTCAGTGAAACTCCCAAAACCCAGCGTCTCTATGAATCCTGTTGGTGAGGTTACTTGGGGTCAGGATGTCAGCATCACTTGTTCAATCTCAACTCAGCATTTAGGTGGGACATTCATTCTGCAGCAGACCTCAGGCTCATTCAGGAAGACTCAAACATCAAGTACCAACTCGGCTACTTTTAACATCGTCCAAGTGGACTTTGACAATGAAGGATCGTACCAGTGTCAGTATCAGACGACAGTTTCAAGTCGAGACTTCAGCTCCCCCTCAAGCGACTCTGTCAGACTCTCTGTTGTTGGTAAGGAAATTAGTGAATGAATAAAATAACACACCACAACAAAGAAGGCAGAATAGCAATACCAAGATTATTCAAACAAAAGTAAATGTTATATTTTAACATAGCAAGACTATTTAATTAAATCACCCCGATAATCCAGGGATGATGGACACTATTTCCTCACTGTGCGGCCAGTAGAGCAGGCCCCGAGTGCGTCTTACTTCAACGGCTGAACGGCAAAACTTCCATCTTAGTGCTCCGCTAACTTGAACGGGGATAAAATTAATTTAATCATGCTGCTCTTCTAGGCTTCCGAAATGTTATGGGATCAAATGGATTAAATCCTGATAGTGAAACGAATCATTTTGCAGGGGTTGTGATGCTCAAATAAATTTGTCCACTGATTCACAGATATCTCTTTCACCATGTCAGTCAATGAGAAAAAGTCTTTTTGGACCACAGGGCATCACATGACAGACACCAGATATTGCAGTATCACAGTTTGGCCACAACAAAACTTGGCTTCAAAGCCCGGCTCACTTACTGGAGGCCTGTTTCAGAACATTAAGAAACCTGGGGTTTTGCACATGGGGATTATTTTTGAATAAAATTTTTTTTGCAAATTTTGAATAATTCCCTGTTAAACACGTGATTTTAACGTATTTTGACAAAGAATTTTGACAAAGAATGAACACTCGTCTTCTATTATTGGGTTGCCCTAATTGTTGGTGTTGTAACTTGTTCTTATGACCTTAAAAATGACGAGACCAGACTCCGGACTTGACTGCATGAATCATCTTTAGTGCAAAAGAAGGGTGTACACGTTTGCTCATGAAAAATGGGGAGTACAGCTTACACGCTAACAAGCGGCTCAGCTAACATAAACACACTGACGTCATTACGGCATATGCATCCTCGATCTGAGCATTCTGGGAAATGAAGTCCCCTTTAATACAATGTATACAGTTTCCTGAGAAATGAACTTATACTTTTACTTCAAATCAAATGCCCAAATAAAATGTGTTTTTAACTTATTATTCCTCACATCAACTGTTTTTAACATGCATATTAAATTATTAGCAATCCTTAATCCTTAATAAACATGTTTCCTCAAATAAATTCTCAACAGTTGGTTAAAGTTAAAGGTTAAAGGTTAAAGGTTAAAGTGGCCGAAAAAAAACCCGAAAGTCCCCCAATTGGGGACTTTGAGAACGACTTTGCAAACACAGTGTGAAACAATGCACTAATCACGAAGAATACAGTGATGTTGCACATCAAATTAAACAGTAGATACTGGGCTATAAGGCTGTATAAACCCTTTTTAAATGCTCAAACACAGCTCAAACAACAACTAAATGAATAACAACACATCAAACTCCATACAGTACCGATATGCCGACCCACTCGGTATATTTCAGGCTCTAACTTGACACCACATTATGCAAAACACACAGCATACACCTCAAATGAAAGCAGAGACTCCGCTGTTTCCACACATATCTGCCAAAGCATGCTACACCAAAGCATCAGAGAGATAGAGGCCAAAGAAGAATAACAACAGAGATCGTTTTGCCAAACAATAGTTGTAAAATTTCTCTTACCTTTGTTGTTTTGCTGTGAAAAGTTTATTCTGCCGGTAAAACAGGGTACGTCCCGGTAGACTGACATGCACCCGGGGGGGAGCATAACAATGACCGCATTCAGCAGCTGGCACCTCCCCCACAACGGCTTTCTGCTGACTCTGATTGGCTTACAGTGCTGTCAATCTCGTTTTGGTTGGTATAGCGTCATTCTATTGGCTCTAACAAATCGAACTAAGCAGTGCCGTAGAATATAACAGAGTCGCGACAATGGAAGTCCAAAATGCTTGTGCGTCACGTGACTCATGTAGACCTCGGATAGTTCCCGGAAGTTACTGGCGGGCCATTTAAATACATAATACTGAGAGACAGAACTCCGATTTTTGGTAAGTAGCTGTCAATAACTACATTGATTTATAATATATGTGTAGCACGCCATAAACAGTTACATCTTTATGTTGTTTTTTAAAGTAAAATGTGCTAATATTTGAGGATTAGTGTTAGTTTACTATGGTTAGGTAAGACTCTATTAATCCCAACCTTGGAAATTCACGTTACAGCAACTTAATACACATGATGTGTAGTATTTTTACTGTAAAAATATAGGAATGTATAGATATCCCCTGGGAAGTGGCAAAATATTGCACACAGGAATATTACATAGTATGTACACAGTGCACAGTTTAAATATAAGGGATGTGGATAAGGATATGTATTTATATATGGGCCAGTATAAGTATATTAATGACATAGCATAATTATGATAGAAATGTATTATTACACAGTATAACTATGTGTAATGTGCATATAACATATATTATTGTCTGCCTTGTTTAAATATGTTAGTCTTTCCTTACCTTGGTGAAACAGCGTGTTGCTTTTATTGCTTTAAATTATGTTTTCAATTCTGTCCTTAGTCTTGTATGGTTGTCAGGAGTAATCACATCCTAACATTTATTGATAATGTAATGATTCTAATGATTTATAACTAATGTTATCTTAATGACTTTCAGTGGGACAGAAGGAGACCGACGGGTGACTACCAATGACTGTCAAGTGACAGCACAATGGGTCACTGGGCTAGCGGCAGCAGCAGTTTATAGACATATATATTTTATGTATCTTTTTCTTTTTACTATGTACTTATTTACTATAACAAATAAATTTTTAATAAACTCAGAAACATGACTTGGATGTCAAGCAGTTTGTCTGTGCCTTTCCTTCTGTGTTGTCCTCTCGTACAGTCTCCACCATGGTGCTGTGTGGGGATGTTCTAATCGTTTAGAGAGAGAGGTACACATGCACAATTTCTTCATTGACACAGAGATGAGAATTTTTCTTTGGCTTAAGTCAGCAGGAGTAACCTGAGACTCACTACAGACTACAACAACAAAAATATGTAAGGTTATCATTCTCAAATACTGCATTAGCACATTTCCACAAACAAAGACCACACTATTGGGAAGCTCAGTGTTTGGTTTATTAAAAATAAGGAACAGGGAAAGGCTTGCAAAACCCACGGAGTTGAGACTCAGGGTAAGGGGGTTGTTTCATTGCGGGGTGAGTTCAGGCTCCATTGCATCCCCCTGTTGTTCTTGTGCTGAAAGAGAAAAAAAAAAAGAAAGAGGAGAAATGGTTAGGCACATGTATATATGCCTGGGTCTGACGTTGCCTTGTGAGATAAGGCACAAGTATGACAAGTGGCATCAATTTTAATTGCATTTGTTTGAAGTTGTCTCATGGATATGTAATGAGTGTATACATGTTCAGTAAGTATAAAGTGTTCCTGAATACTGTATGCATTCAACCACTATGGGATATGTCTGTGGGTAGACAAAAGTGAGTTGTGTGTGGGAAGTCATTGCAGGCACATTTTGGTGCAGACCAGTTTCCAAGACCAAAAAGGGCAAGACAAGGCTTAGAGCAGATTTAATTCCCACCATCTTTGTGCATCATGCTGTGAGCGCCCCTGCACCACAATGCACCCCTGGACCTGTAACATCATTGTTATTGCCACTCCTGAATTGTAACATTAATGGTCCTCATCCTGCAGCACTCCTGACACGAGGCACGCAGCATCACTGCAGTATAATTCCTTAAAATGTTTACTTATATTTCAGTGTTGGGTGCTGTTGTAACTGATCAGCACACTGGAAACCAGCAGGTGTCATAGTGACTAACTGGCAAGCCAATTTGCTTTTGTTGTGCTAACCTCAGCATTTGCCTACTGTGTTTCATATGACTGGCTCTAAAATATTCATCCCTATCTCATAAGTTATCAGACTTTGATCCTGTGTCTGGTCGTCCCTGTGTCCATAGTTATCTGTTCATTTGAAAAGGTCTAGGCTATTTAATTGTTTAATATCATCACACTGTTATTTATATAAGCAGGGGATTTTAATACAAAGTTATAACCACTGTATGTGAATGCGTGAATCGGTCAGATCTGCACTCCAGAGGAGAGCCTTCATTAGACTATGCAATATCGCCCACTACTGGATTTGTAAGTTAATGAACTGCAATTAAAGCTCTCTGTGCTTTAATTAGCCGCTATGAAAGAACATGACCCTCTTCTATTTTATGATGCCTATTAATATTATAATATTATAATGATGGTAACTGGTAATATGCAATGTATTACATTTTCAAAGTAACTTGCCCAACACTGTATATCATATATTATATATTCAATATAATTACTTATATAATTAATATAAAATGCAGTATAATACATATTAAGTATGATTCCTTATCTCTGTGATTACTTGAAACACACCTTGTTAAGTTTTAAGTCTCACCAAGGTCGACTCAGCACTTACCTGCAGCGTCCTCTCTCACACAGTGGTCCTGCAGCATCACTGCTCCGCCACCACCCAGTGCTCCTACAGCAGGTTACAAATATACAAGATTACATATCTAATACTGTGATAGAATATATGTTTAGCATGATCATATGTATAACACAGTAATATATTTGGTATTTAGAATAATTCCCCATTTAGCCTGGTATGTTTCATTTATCAAAATTACTTATCTTGTGTTTTAAATCTCATTCAGGTCCTCAAACTTCCCTCTCACTTCGCTATCAATGTAATATCAGCTGGGCTGTAACATATTATAGACAGGTATACTCAACAGAATCACAAAGCCTAAAAAACAGACCATAAGTTCCGTTTTTGTTTCATTTCACCTCCTCCACTCAACAATCACGCAGCAATGTCATATTTAACAGAGCTAATAATCAATAATCGCAAAAAATCAGGACTGGAAGCACTCTAACTTCCCAATTTTAGATAAAATGGTTTAGGAGAAGACAATTTAAAACTAACAGGCTGTTCATGGTTAGCATTACCTGTATGGTGTGTACAGTATGTACAGTGTCCTAGCCTAATCTGTTATCTTATCTTTTAAAATTACATAAATCTACTAATTTAATGGGAGATAATCCACTAACAAGCTTTAATACACATGTTAATTTAGATAAGTTGTGCTGATAATGTAAAATTTGAGTCTTTGGACATCTTACCCGTTAAAAGTACATCACAGCCGGTCTTTTCTGCTGTAACTCCATTGCGCTGCTAGCATGTGCCACTTACTTCCGGGAACTATTGAGAGGCTCCGCGATCCGCCATTGCTGTGAAAAAATGGCCCATTGGAGTGAACGGAGAAGACGCGACTCTCTATTCAAGGGCTCTGGAACTAAGTGTCAGTCACTCAAATCGACCAATCCGTTGCGGAGATACGAGCCTCCAAAGCACAGAAGAGAAAATCTGCTTCACATTTAGATGGTGTGTGTGTGTGAGTCAGTTGGAGTGGGAAATACATGAAAAAAACGAAACGGACAGTTGTATGTGTACAAGACTAGTAAAGTAAAACACGGCGACTCGGTATGCACAATAAATACAATTGTAATACAGAGTAGCCTGCTGACGTTGCACTTAAAAATTGTAACAAGTTATCATTCTGACTATGCCATGTAAGCTAGTGTGACAGTGAGAGTGTTGTGTGCTGCTGTGCTGCGTGTGCTGCTGTCTGTTGTGCTCCCGTGCCGTGGACTTTAAGTTGGAAACGAGGTGCTTTATTAGGAAAAAACAAAACACAAAAAAAACGGAGGCTTAAAAGATCCGGGGCAGAGCCCAAAATATCCAGAGTTATAGCCGGGAATGCCCAGGTCTAACGACGCCCATGCCCCAAACCAACAATTTTAGAATTGTTGTTGCATTCAGGGCCCTGTATATCTTTAAATGTGACTGTATCTATGCAAAAAAGTTAGTTCAGGATTTCAATACTCAACAAGAAATATATTTCTGGCATTGGAAATATTTCAAAAATGAGCTTTGTTAATAGAAGAAATGCACTCAACTGAAGTTTGTCAGACTCAAAGGAGACACATAGTGAGCTTTGGAGAGAATCACTGAATGTTAACATACCATTTGTTTGTTACAAGAATATTCTACAGGGTGCATTTACACTGTAATATNTTTACAAGAATATTCTACAGGGTGCATTTACACTGTAATATACACCATAAGTAATATGTAATAAGAAACAAAACAAACATCTTACATTAATTAACATTTACTTTAACTTTTTTTCTAGATAGAATTTTTTTATGCAATCTTTATTGATTCATAAGAGCACAAATTTAATATTGTCTTGACACTTTTGTCTCTTTTGTCCTCAGTGCCACTGCAGCAGCCCAACATCTCCCTGACATCTCCTAACAGAGGGCTGGTCTGGAGTCCTAAAGGAGCAGAGGTCACCAGGGGTTACAGCTTCATCTTCACCTGCACCACTTCCTCCTTTTATCCTGGAGGTGTATTGTCTCTCATCTTCTCTGACTCCAACATCACCGACACCAAGCCAGCAGTCAACCACTCAGCCTCCTTTACCTTTCCTGTAGCTGAGTATGAACACCAGGGAAACTACAGCTGTGTGTATGAAGTCACACTGTCCTCAAGGAAATTCAGTTCTACACAGAAAGCACCCATTAGTGTCATCATTAAAAGTACGTAGAATGTAGAATTTAAACTAAACATTGTGTTTAATGAACAATAGCTGAATGATACATCGACTACTACTGTATTTAGTGTATGGCTGCATCAGCAGCACAGCCGCTAATTAACAGACAATGGGATTCCCAGTAAAGCTGAGAGTAGCAAAACCAACAGCACCTTGGTCCAGACTCCACCTCAAGAGGGATGGAGAGGGTTGGCAGGGACCAAGGGTTGACACATTCTGGTCAGTTTGTAGATATGTGGGATGCAGCCCCCCCCTTTTTCCAACTCAAAAGGCCTGTTGTCAGTTAATAAAGGCTGCCCCTGTGGAGCTCTTGTGTGTTGCTTTCCAGCTACTGGTAAAGTGAAAGATACCTCAGCCCAGGAACACTTTCCAGAGTGGGATATTTGTCAATGATGAGTGGAAGGCAAACTTTAAAATATCCAGTGCATCACTCCTGAGTTTAAGTGAGCTCTTTCATCCTTAAATTGAACAGGAATCAGGGGGGATGAGATCTCCAGTGGGTATTTTGACAAAGGTGACATCAGCCTGGACATTTCACCGTCACTTGCGATGAGGTAGACTGCTAACATGCTGTTTTCAGCAAAAAGAGGCAGTGAAAATGGCATTTTGATAATCATATTGACATTGTACCACCATTCAATACAGTTTCAATGTTTATGTCAGCCACAGACATAAAAGAATATTAACATTTATTTTGAACTCAACACTTCCTGTGTCAGTATCAAAATAAAAGCTGTCTGACAGTAGTTCTGTGGACAGAATCCCTTCATTTGTTATTATAACGCCAGATTTCCACTGGATGCGTGTCCGTTGCGGAACGGCAGCGCTGGTTATCCGCTGCGTGCTCTGCCGTCCGTCAATACCCACTGGCTGCGTTTGCTGTGTGGAGCGGTGAAGCTCCGCTGGAAGACATCTCGGTGCACTGCCATGATTAATATCTCCTCGTCCATGGTGTTCACGGGGTGAAATGACGTCTGGAGACCTCTGACCCGTTGACTTCAGGCCTGCCTCTGCCCATTATGTAGTTTTCAAGGTGTAGTGCAGGAAAACATGATCCGCCGTGAACACTGTGTATTTTTCAATTCTAGTCAATGTGTGTGTTTCCAAACACACACATTGACTAGAATTGAATCCTATCGGCTCCGCTGCCGTGCCGGAGCGGAGACGCAACCAACACGCATCTGGTGGAAATAGGCCGTAAGGCTTGTTATTTTGAGATGTTTAATCTAGTGTGTATATAGAACAGATTGTTTATCCTATGATAAGAATGGACACAGTTTTCAGGATAAACTTTTTTTTTCTTTCCCAGTGCCTTTGTTGCCACTGGTCTCCTCAGTAGCTGCTGGGGGTCTGCTGTTGGTCCTGCTGGTCTTGATAGTGGTCTGTCTGGTCTACAAGAGAAGACAACAAACCAAGTGTCCTGGAACTCTCGTCCAAACTCAAAGTCTGTGTTCACCAGGACACACAGTGCATTACATGAAAAGACTAATTGTTTCTGATTGTTTTCCTTTTTTTCTTGATACACTTTCATCACAACATTTGTGTTTGAATGCTTGCATTTATTCTGATGCTCATGACACATTTTTGTTCTAATGATTGCGTTTCAGTGCCTCTCAGAGTCAGGAACGTTTATGGAAGTGATGAGGATGAGGATGAAGAGGATGACTATGAGAATGCTGATCCAATGGAAACCAAGAGGAAATTCAAAGATGGAGCGGCGAGAATGGAGGAAGAGGAGATTAATGATTATGAGGATCCAGAGAGTGATGACGATCACGATTATGAGGGAGCATGCACCCATGCAAATTTCATAAAAGCCAAGGAGGACTGTTTCAGTGTCGAGGAGAGCACGGGAGAGGAAGAAGAAGAAGAAGAAGAAGAAGAAGAAGAAGAAGAAGAAGAAGAAGGAGAGGATGAAGAAGATGAAGAAGAAACCAGTGATGATGAAAACATCTATGAAAATGTAAACCAGCCCTTTGATGAACAAAGTGTGTCCATCTATGGAGAAGAAGAGGATATTTATCAAAACTTTTGAGGTGTCCAGTGGTCATCAGTGTCACAGTGGTTGCCATGGAAAAAGGACTAATTTTTTGACCCTGTGCAATCAATTTCACCAAATAAATGGAATGTTGAAATCTTAAAGTGGAGATCAAACACTGAAAACTATGTCTGCGGTTCATTGGATTTTTACCTTAGACAAAATATAGCACTGTAATCAAACTTGCATCTAGATTTGCTAACAAAAAAAAAAAAAAAAAGGTAGATTGCATATCATTTCTCATTATCAGGGTGCAGCCATCTTTCAACAAGCTAGTTTGTGACATCACCAGAATGGTAGTTTACTAGGAGCGCTGGGTACAACACTGTACTTCAGACTAGTTAAGTGTTGATAAAATGGAGTTAGAGAGTTTTGATGAGACACAAAGAACCACAGACAGTTATGCTTTTTAAGCCAACTAGACCAAACATAGTGGTACGACCTGTTTCCATGGAATTGGACAACAGCAGCTAACTTGAAAATGAAGAGCAGCCTGAACTTGACTAATGTTATGTTTAATGTCAGGTCGCAGCAGCTGACAATCCACAATAAATACCAAATATGTGCTCTATAACTGTTTCCATCAAGTAGTCAGTCCACAACAATGGTGTGTGAGGCTTATGACATTAAATTCACATTATGATGTTGCAGCTAACATAGCTAA